AGCCCAATAGTACCTCTAAAAGACATTCCACTTATAGAACACTGCAGATATTAATCTACAAGTCATTTCAATTTGGCTTTAGATACTAGGTTTGCTTTCACCATACCATTTATTCACTTTACATACTTAGGAACTGAAAACTGACGTACTTTTGTTAACAGGCAGTTCCATCAATCTCCAGGCTTCCCTATAAATGCTACAAACATGCTCAACTGAAAACAATATTTGGTTCTAAATTTAACAAACAGAAGCCAGGTATGGTGGCTCACGCCTGAAATCCCAGCAGTTCGGGAGGCCAAAGTGGGTGGATCATTTCAGGTCAGGAGTTCGAGACCAGCCTGGCCAACATGGTGAAACCCCATCTCTACTAAAAACATAAAAATTAGCCAGGCGTGGTGGCGGGCATCCATAGTCCCAGCTATTTGGGAGGTTGAGGCAGGAGAATCGCTTGAACCCAGGAGGCAGAGGTTGCAGTGAGCCGAGATCGCACAACTGCCCTCCAGCCTGGACTCTGTCTCAAAAAAAAAAAAAAAGAAATATCTACACAATTTTGTCAACCTAAGACCAAAAAAATCTGTGTTAACAGGGTAGAAGACTTACAAAGCCAAAACATTCCATTTAGTCTGTTTTTCAACAATGACAAAATAAATTCTTACTTCTGATCACAAAAGCGTAATTTTTCTAACTCAGATTTTATTTTTATTTTATTTCTGAGACAGGGTCTCACTCTGTTGCCCAGGCAGAAGGGCAGTGGCACAATCACTGCTCCCTGCAGCCTTCACCTCCCGGGCTCAATTGATCTTCCCACCTTGGCCTCCCACTTAGGCGGGACTACAGGTGAGCACCACCACACCCAGCTAATTTTTTTATTTTTGTAGAGATGGAGGTCTCACTATCTTGTCTATGCTGGTCTCAAACTCCTGCATTCAAGCAAACCTACTGCCTTCACCTCCCAAAGTGCTGGGATTACAGGCATGAACTACTGCACTCAGATACATTTAATTTTAGAAGACTCAGGGACTTCACTTTTCAATAATGATTTTTAATTTACTATATTATTTTTAGTAAACACACGACAACTGAATGGTATTTATTATAACCCAAAGGAGGCACTTATGAAGTCACAGGAAGATTAATCATCTTCAAATCAACCCGTTAACCATTAGAGCAAGTTGATTTTTTTTGCCAACCTATATTAGGACTATGTCAACAGTTGCCCAGTTAGAAATTAAACGATGCTTAAAACAACCCATGTCTAGACTTTAAATTTTTACTTGAGCAACACACACAAATACTGTGATCAAGTATGCATGCATGCACATTATGTGTATATGTATTTACCTGGATTTTATTAATTATGATGAATGTTTGTTTAAAAAAAAAAAAAAAATCACGGGGCACAATGGATCACACCTATAATCCCAACACACCGGAAGGCCGAGGTGGGCAGATTACAAGTTCAGGAGTTCAAGACCAGCCTGGGCAGCATGGTGAAACCCTGTCTCTACTAAAAACACAAAAATTAGCAGGGCATGGTGGCACATGCCTGTGATCCTAGCTACTCAGGAGCCTGAGGCAGGAGAATTGCTTGAACCCTGAAGTCAGAGATTACAGTGAGCTGAGATCACGCCACTGCACTCCAGCCTGGGGCACAGAGACTCCATCTCAGAAAAAAAAGAAAGAAAGAAAAAATCTTGGCTGGACACAGCGGCTCACTTCTGTAATCCTAACACTTTGGGAAGGCAGGATTGAGCCCAAGAGTTCAAGGCTAGGTCTGGAAACACAGTGAGACCCCATCTCTAAAAAAATTTTTAAATTGATCGTTTTGTTATTCATATGCGTGATGACTGGGTGTTCACATGCATGTGTGAAATGTACCAACCTTGAATCTTGTTATATAACATGTGCACATTACCCATCTGACATGAGAAAAAAAAATTGAATTAAATAAAAAGTAAAAAATAAAAAAAATTAGCCAGTCATGATGGGATGCATCTGTAATCCCAGCTACTCAAGAGGCTGAGGTGGGAGAATTGCTTGAGTCTGGGAGGTCAAGGCTGCAGTGAGCCATGTTTGTGCCACTGCACTCCAGTCTGGGCGACAGAACAAGATCCTGTCTCAAAATATAAAATAAAATAAAAATCTGTTAAGATGAATTAGGTAAACATAGGAATCAAAAAATACAGTAATGGACTATGGCACTAACTATCTTTCATAAGAAAGAAAAAGGTGGAAAGCCTTCCTACTTTTAGTTCACAGATGATTTTTCATTTTATAATCAAAGAAAATAAAGAACATGCCTTATAAAAATAAGGTAATGTGACTTAAAGTTGAATTATCACTTAACTGGATGGATTTCTAAGAAGCTACTGACTTCCAACTTTTCAATTTCTCTAAAACCAGAACATATTTTCTTTTTCTTCTTTTTTCTCTCAGAGTCTCACTCTGTTGCCCAGGCTGGAGTGCAGTGGCATGATCACAGCTCACTACAGCCTCAACCTCCAGGGCTCAAAAGACCCTCCTACCTCAGCCTCCCAGGTAACTGGGACTACAGGCATGTACCACCACACCTGGCCCAGCACACATTTTCTTAATGGCTCACTCCTTTGCTCATAAATGTAACCTGTTTTATACAGAAATAACATGTCATCAATATATATGCTATTCCATGAATTTTAGCTTAATTGTGTTTTATTTAAAAACTCAAATAGAACTTTTATAATCGAACTATATTTAAAAATTTTTTTTTGGAGACAGCATCTCACCACTCTTGTCACTCAGGCTAGAGTGCAATGTCGCGATCTCAGCTCACTGCAGCCAGGGTGATCCTCCCACCTCAGCCTCCGGAGTAGCTGGAACTACAGACACACACCACTATGCCCAGCTCGTTTTGTTGCATTTTTTTGGTAGAGACAAGATTTCACTATGTCACCCAGGCTGGTCTCGAACTCCTGGACTCAAGTGATCCTCCTGTCTTGGCCTCCCAAAGTGCTGGGATTACAGGCGTGCAGCCTTTTATTTTTTTTCTTATCACACTGGGCCTCACCTATTCACTTTCCACAACACCTAAGAAAAATCTTAAACATTAAATACACACCTCAAACATATAAAATTCATTACACACGTTTTGTAGCCATAATAATTGTACTAATAAAGACTGACTCTAAAGAGCTTATTAGGGCAGTGTTTAAATGGTCCAATTCACAAGAGGTGGGGAGAAATAATGATCCTCTCCTACCAAACTGGCAGCAACAATATGCCAAGTTTCCTATGCTGAACTAGTGTAAACAAGGAAGAAAAAGAGCCGGAGGTGGGAAGCAGTCAGGCAAGAGAACAACTCTCTTCAAGATATAACTTTACCTCTAAATTTCAACAGAGTAATAGCTCTTCTCAGTGTGTTCAATAACCCATTTCTGACTAAATACCACACGTTAGTTGTCAGAAAGCTACAATAGGCTACATTCCATGCCTGAGATCATCAGACATAACAGATACAAGTGGAGATCACAAACGACTAATTATAAAGGTTATCGCTTTCATCCAGTCAGAGTTTTCTAAACATCTAGAAATTTAAACCCGCACTTGCTGTAATAATTGACGTTAGAAATAAAATAGGACTCATCAAAGATGATGCACAGAAAAAAAAAATTTACACATCACGTTTGGTGCAGCCATGGCTACAAGGCTCCTACTAACAGATGAGCGTCATTCAGGATAGAGTTAGGTTAGGAGTGGGATAAAAAGTCGGCTTACAGCCTCTTTTCCAGTGTTGCTTGAGGCAGTCAGTGGACATGGAATAAAAGAGAGGTTGGCTGTGCAAGTGATGCCAAAAGAAACAAGATTCCACATGTCAGGAGACTGAATGCCCAACAGAGCAAAGGGCACTCAACCTTTAGCCTTTTGCCCAAAGAAATATTAGTTGCTTCACCTGAAATCCTTTCAAAGGAAGTCTAATTGCCTCCACTCCAACTCTGCCTCTGAGTAAACGCAACAACCTCTACTCAGAGCATAAGGGGAAGCCTTGCTTATCAACAACAGCAAGTGCTACTATCAAAGCCAAGAAACACTCCTTTAAGTCGGATAGTCTTCTGCCCCAATTCAGTCTTCTACAAGGTGAAGCCAAAAATACTTGGCCCCCAACCTAAGTTCTCCATTTTCTCAAACATCTGTCAACTTAGTTTCCTTTCAGATAAGCCCCTCTCCATTCGCAGCTTTCTGGAGAACCCCCTGTTAGAAGTCCTGTCCCTTCAGAAAGTTTCCTCTCCCTAGATCATCTCATTTCCCCCACTTTTCCTAAAGTGGTTCCCAGTCCCTGTCCCAAGTCTAACACTCCGGGTCCTCCAAGTGTCGATTTACTAGTAGATCCTACTCCTCCCTGGCATAACTCTTAAGAAAGTCATCTCCCTCACCGTACTCCCTTGTCTTCCCCCATAATATCACCCCCTTTTCCCTACGTATCCTCAGATGGAAAGAGACAGACACACAAATTAATCTGTTCTCAGCTCCTAACTCCCAAGCCTCTCCCGTGCTCAGGTTCTTCCACAGTACCTAATCCTTCCCTATAGTTTTCTTCCAATCCTGGCATCCTCAGCCCCTCGCTCCAAACCCCAATCTTTTTTCCCACTCCCCAAATCCAGATCTCCTGTGCTTTTTACTCTCGGCCAACACCAAAAGCCTTTCCCTCCCAAGTCTACCCACTATGCCTCGATGCCCAAGTCTTCCCCTCATCCCATGTCCCTCAGCCACTAATACTCGAAAAACCTCAGGAACTTGCCCCACCATCTTCCTTCTACCTCCGTGGCCCCTAACTCTCCTCTAGCCCTGCTCAGCCCTCACATTCTCCCTTGCCCTCCGGGCTCTCCCACTAGTCCTCCCCGTCCCAAGAAGAGGTACCCCTTAGTACCCGCCTGGCCCGCCCTGCTGCTGAGCTCGGATGTCCCTTCCCTTCCCGTCGGGGCCCCGAGGCCGCTGCCAGCACTGGCACCGCGGGGCCGGCTCACCAGTTGGTCATGTCCAGGAAGAAGGCGCAACCGGCAGGGTTAAGCTGGAAGCCGAGCAGCCGCTGGAACTCTGAGATGAGCACGTCCTTGTCGGTGGTGCCCAGGCAGCTGAACTTCTGCATCAGCTCCGGGTCCAGGTCCACGTCCATGCCCTCCATGGCGGGGGCCGGACACCCGCTTCCCCGCCTCCTCACAACCGAGCCGCCGCCGCCGAGCCGCTGCCGCCGCGCCGCCGGGCCCGGGGACCGGGAGGGGGCCCGCTGCTAGCTAGAGTCGTGACCCCGCTCCTCTGAGGTAGGCCCCGGGCCTCTCACAGTCTCATAGGGGTAAACTCACTCTGCCACTCACTCACTCTCCCCCCCACCCACCCCCCCCACCCCCCCGCCTCCGCCGCCTCTCGCCTCTAGCCACTCCACCGCCTCCGCCTCCTCCCGCGCCGCGCCCACTGCGCAAGCGTCGCAAGCCTAGGCCCCGCCCCTTCCTCTCCTGGAGGCCCGCCCCTTAGTGTCGTCACAAACCCGTGACGTCCCCGCGTGACCTCACCGCTGCGGGCCAGGGGGCAGAAAGTGGGAAGGAGGAAAGTTTCGGGTCCAGCAGTTGTGGGGAGGCTTCTGGCCAGACCCTTACTCCACCCCTTCCCCACCCTCAAGGAGAGCAGTTAAAGATGGGTTGCGGGAGAAGCTCAGGGATTTTCGTTTATGAGAAGTCTACCATTTTGCAGGTGAGGAAACTGAAGTCCCGGGAGAGGCAGAGATAGTGGCAAGGTCAAGTAGCAAAGTGCACTCTGGACTCAGTTCTGCCAGCCAGGAGTCTGCCACTCGTGCTTGAAGGACGTTTTTGAAGAGCCGCTTTCCCAGAGGGATGCTGTTTTAAAGCCTTGATTCCCAGGCACTCTTTGATATTACTACAGCTTATCCGTGCTGTTTGTGTTATGCAACGGTGGCATCGCAGAAAAAAAGGTCTAGATACAAACATCCATCACAGGTCTAGAAGAACACCACACATAACCTTCCACCCACTCCTTTAGGAACAACCCTATCAAAGTCATGAGAATTTAGCATGCCTTGTTCTGTGTTTAGAACAGAAGACAAAATTTAAAAAAAGAGAAAAAAAAAAAAACAAACAGAAGACAAAGTATTGTATATAGAGGGTTGTACACTGGCCCGGTGAAGGTCTGTCAAAGAATGAGAAAGGAAGCATAGAGACTATATTCCCTGCCCTCTTCTGTTAGCAAATGTTTTTCAAACACCGCGAACTGTCCAGTACTGCTAGATCCAAGGTGGGAAGGGTTGGGGAGGGGGGGAAATCAGTGAAAATTTGCCTTCTGCCTTCAAGTAGTTTTCTATTTTGCAAATAAGGGAAATAACCTTCCGTGCCTTGTCCAAACATACAGAGCAGCAAAATTAGAACCCAGATTCTGGTTCCTTATGAAGTGTGGTTTCCACAATTTCAACAACAGAGCGGGGATAAGTAGTAATATCTCAGGGACCGGGATGTTTTGCAAAGGGAACGCATTCTACCTCCTCTGTCCTACTACCAAAAGAGAGTAAACTACGGTAGCTTAAAAAGCCTACGTTCTGGGGTTATGCATATTTGGGACTCAGAGGTGAACATGTTTGTACCAATTTTTTGTATGATGCAATAGAGACAGAAAGATTACAAAAATCTCAGTATAATAATTGAAAGGAACTGAGACTGTCGAGTCCAACCTCCCCATTCTACAGATGAAGAAATTGAAATGGAGAGAGGGGAAATGACTTACCCAAGATTACACAGCTGGATAGGGGTTTCCAAACTCCCGGTTTAGCACTCCATTCACTATACCCTGCTACATTCCCTTTCTACATTAGGTTATTTGGGGCCTTACACAAAAACAAAAAATTTGACCCAAGAACTAATTTGATGTTAGGACCATAGACTTCTAGAAAGTGTTTTACCTTGCAGTATCCATGGATGAAAATTGTGTGACCAAGAATACAAAAGAAGGTATTATTGGAATCTGGTAACTCCATTAGAATGCTGATTCAGGGAAAAATTCAAAACTCTCAGTCAATCCTATACAGTACTAGGGTCTTAGCCCACACCTCAATAGTCTACATAGTTCAGATAAATTCTTTTTTTTTTTTTTTTTTTCTGAGACAAGATCTCGCACTGTTGCCCGGGCTGGAGTGCAATGGCAGGTCACAGTTCACTGCAGCCTTGAACTCCTGGGATCAAGCAATCCTCCCACAGCCCACCAAGAAATTGGGACTGCAGGTGGGTGCCACCATGCCTGGCTAATGTTTTTCAACTTTTTGTAGAGATGGGGACTCACTGATCTCGAGCTTCTGGGCTTGAGGGATCCTCCTGCCTTGGCCTTCCAAAGTGTTGGGATTACAGGCATGAGCCACTGTGCCCTGATATTTTAATGTAATAAATAAAAAGCTATTAAGATCAATGAGGAGGCAGGAGGATCACTTGAGCCCAGGAATTCTAGACCAGACTGAGCAACATGGTGAAACCACCACTCTACAAAAAATTAAAAAATTAATCGGATGTGGTAGTGCTCACCCATGGTCCCAGCTACACGGGAGGCTGAGAAGAGGGGATAACTTGAGCTCAGGAGGTTGAGGCTGCAGTGAGCCATGTTCCTGCCACTGCACTGCAGCCTGGGTGACAAAAGGAGACACTGTCTCAAAAAAAAATTTTTTAATTTACGCATAAAAATAAAAAGATCAATAAAGGGACTAGGTGAGATAGCTCATTCCTTTAATCCCAGTAATTAGGGAGGCCGAGGTGGGAGGATTGCTTGAGGCCAAGAGTTTGAGACCAGCCTGGGCAGTGTAGCAAGACCCCATCTCTATAAAAAGTGTTTTTAAATAGGTGGGTGTACTGGTATGCACCTGTAGTCCTCCCTGCTCCAGGTGGTTGAAGGTCCCAGGTAGCAGGGACTACATGTGTGTGCCAGCCTGGCTAATTTTTGTATTTTTTGGTAGAGACAGGTTTTTGCCATGTTGGCCAGGCTGGTCTGAAACTCCTGACTTCAAGTGATCCACCCTCCTAGGCCTCCCAAAGTGCTGGGATTACAGGCATGAGCCACCTTGCCTGGCCAAGACTGTCTCTTAAAAAAAAAAATTACAGGCTTAAAAATGAATGAAAATATTTTAAACTCCATGAATAATTAAGAAATGCAAATTAAAACAGATACAATACCATTTTTACATATCAGTTTGGCAAATATTGATAATAGCCAGTGTTCTATAAGTTGTGAAGAAAAGGTAATTTCATACAATATTGACAGGATTGCACATTGGTAAAACCTTTTTGGAAGACAATTTGGCAATGTCTATTAAAAATTTTAAATGTGCACACTATATCTTAGATATACAGACAAACTAAAAAGATGGTCAAAGACATATGTAGAAAGATGATCACTGCAGATTTATTTGAGATGCTGGAAAACTGGAAACAATCTAAATGACCGTCAGTAAGGCATTGATTATATTATGCTACATTTACATTATGGAATAGTACACACCATTTAAAAAATGCTGGGTGTAGGCTGGGCGCGGTGGCTCAAGCCTGTAATCCCAGCACTTTGGGAGGCCGAGGCGGGTGGATCACGAGGTCAAGAGATCGAGACCATCCTGGTCAACATGGTGAAACCCCGTCTCTACTAAAAAAAAAAATACAAAAAATTAGCTGGGCATGGTGGCGCGTGCCTGTAATCCCAGCTACTCCGGAGGCTGAGGCAGGAGAATTGCCTGAACCCGGGAGACGGAGGTTGCGGTGAGCCGAGATCGTGCCATTGCACTCCAGCCTGGGTAACAAGAGCGAAACTCCGTCTCAAAAAAAAAAAAAAAAAAAAAAAAAAAAAAAATCGGAACCTAAAAAAAAAAAAAAAAAAAAAAATTAAATAGGTCTGTATGAACTAACATGAAAAGATGTAGACTACTGACCATTAGGAGAAAAAAGCAAAAAGCTAGCTGTTGACAATGTATATACGGTGATCTCTTTTGTGTTTGTTTAAAAAGCATATGTGAGCTGGGCTTGCTGAACACCTGTAATCCCAGAACTTTGGGAGGCTGAGGTGGGAGGATTGTTTGAGCCTAGAAGTTCAAGACCATCCAGGGTAACATAGTGAGACTCTACACATTATTTTTCAATTAGCCAAGCATGGTGGCATGAGCCGTGGTCCTAGCTACTTGGGAGACTCAGTGGGAGGACTGTTTGAGCCCAGGAGGTCCAGGCTGCTGTGAGCCATGATAGGGCCACCGTACTCCAGCCTCAGCAACAGAGTGAGCTTGTCCCCCCAAGAAAAAATATTTATATGTGAGTATATATGTTTATGTACATGTGTAAACAATATGCATAACAAAATATCTTGGTAGCTATCTAACAATGGTTAAGAGAAGAGGGTTTATGGTAGGATTGCCAGGTAAAATACAGAATTCCTATTTAGCGTATTTAGTTCAAGCCATTCTCCTGCCTCAGCCTCCCGAGTAGCTGGGATTACAGGCCACCACACCCAGCTAAATTTTTTGTATTTTTAGTAGTGACAGGGTTTCATCATGTTGGCCAGGCTGGTCTCAAACTCTTAACCTCAGCTGCTCCACCCGCCTGGTCCTCCCAAAGTGCTAGGATTACAGGCATGAGCCACCAGGCCTGTCCTTTATTATTATTTTTTTTTTTTTTCTGAGACAAAGTCTCGCTGTGTTGCCAAGGCTAGAGTGCAGTGGCACGCAATCTCAGCTCACTGCAATATCCACCTCCCGATTCAAGCGATTCTTTTGCCTCACTCAGCCTCTTGAGTAGCTGGGATTACAAGGGCACACCACCATGCCTGGCTAATCTTTTTGTATTTCTCGTAGAGATGGGTTTTGCCACGTTGGCCAGGCTGCTCTTGAACTCCTGACCTCAAGTGATCCACCTGCCTCAGCCTCCCAAAGTGCTGGGATTACAGGTGCGAGCCACCTGTTTTTTTTTGTTTTGTTTTTTTGTTTTCCTAGTTGGGGTTTCACCATGTTGGTCAGGCTAGTCTTGAACTCCCGACCTCAGGTGATCTGCCCACTTGACCTCCAAAGTGCTTGGATTACAGGCGTGAGCCACCATGCCCGGCTTTTTTTTTTTTTTAAGACAGGGTTTCATTCACTTGTTGCCCAGGCTGGATTGCAGTGGCGTGATCGTGGCTCACTGCAGCTTTCATCAGCTGGGTTCAAGCAATTATCTTACCTCAGCCTCCTGAAGACAGGCACACACCACCATGCCAGGCTAATTTTTTATATTTTTAGTAGAGGCAGGGTTTCACCATGTTGGACAGGCTGGTCTTAAACTCCTGACCTCAAGTAATCTGCCCACCTTAGTCTCCCAAAGTGCTGGGATTACAGGCGTAAGCCACCACGCCTGGCCACTTTCCTGTATTTAAATAAATAAATATA